AAGAACAGCTTTCAGTGAGGTACACTCACTATTACTGAGCTGTTTGGAAAGTATTTACATTTACTACATCACTGTCATATCAACACCCAGAGATAAACTCCTATTCTAAAACGTGCACACTTATTTTATAACATTTTCATCTTTGCCCTTCCGAGGTTGTGTTTCAGCAGGCTTTTCTCCACACTGGGCACACTGACACGGCCATCTGCTTCAGCTGCACTGTGGGCGGAAAATTAGCACACACTTAGCACAAACATCATAACAGCTGTGTCCTGCCCACTAGGATACTTAGCTGTTGAATCCATGTATCAGAGCACATAAAGAGGATTTGATGGGCCTCACAGTGCTCCTTCACTGCCAGCTGCTAGATATCACATACGCTAATGAGGGAGCATGTCCTGTGTCAGCTAAAGCAGTGTTGTAATAGGGCTGCTTGAAGTCCAATCACTTAGCAGTTTTGGGCTGACCAAGTTGACCAAGAATTTATGGGGTTCAGGCTTACTCGTCCATTTGATTTTGCAACATGATGTTCCATTTATTGGTTTCTGTAAGGATATTAACATAGGACTGCACAGTTTGTTATGCATTCATATGCTTCTGTGGCAGTGTAGCTTCACCTGTGTGTGTGTGTGTTTCAGGAGAGTGTGGAGTTGGAATATCTGAAGCAGAGCGGCTTCATGGAGCCCACTCTAACAGGTCAGTAGGCAGCTGAATCTATAATCACACCCCACATATATTGAATGTATTTCAATAGCCAGTTTATCCTGGTCAGGCTCTTGGTGATCCATCTTGGGGACACTGAGTGTGAGGCACACTGGATGAGATGCCAGTCCATAGCAAGGCATCATACACACATATCTGTGCATTCATTCACATCTAGGGCAATTTAGAATAGCCCATCCATTTACAGGCATGTTTTTGGGAGGTGGGGGGAAACCAGAGATCCCTGAGGAAACCCACAGTGATACAGGGAGAACATTAAATTCTATATGCTCATTTGGCTGATGGTTCTATCCAAAGCAACTTACAGTCGAGACAGGACTCAAGAGTTGAGGGTTATGGATCTTGTTCAAGATCCCAACAGTGGCAACTTGATGGTGCTGGGATTTGAACTCACAGCTAAAATCAGCTACCAATGCCATTATGTGGATTGGCTACTCTTAATTGTTCCTAGGTGTGAATGAGTGTGCCAGGATAGACTCTGGAGCAAGCATGACCCTGATCAGGTTAAAGTGGTTACTCAATGAATGAATGAATTTATGTAGTCCCTTGTAGTTCTGTGTTGTTCTGTGTTTGTCCTATGTAGCACCTTGGTCCTGGAGGAGTTTTGTTTCGTTTCACTATGTACTAACTGGCTGTATATAGTTGAAATGACAGTAAACCCCACTTGACTTGACTTGACTTGACTTGACTTGAATGAATGAATGAATGAATTAAGGATATATTTAGTTGCTCATTTTGCCTGTAATTTCGCGTTCACTTAGACTCACAACTGGCATAAAAGCGCAATAAAAGGACATTGCAAGGTCAGGTATCATCAGGAATTTTATCATGGATGAAGTTGATCAGAAGGAGGCTTTGATTTAGCTTCTAGACAAAATTTATGCATTCATTTTTCCCGTCCAAAATATTCATATAGAAAAAGAAAGAAAAGGAATAAGGACTTTAAATGCAGCTGGTGAAATACCTGGAAAGTCACCAAGAAAGAACTTTTATATGAACCAGATTGTGGTCAATCTGTGGCAATTATGTAGGAATAAAAAGAAACTTAAAATACTGTTAAAAATATAACATATATTTAGAAATGTGGTCCCCCTGGGGAGCCCTTAAAGGTTCTGTGTAGGACCCTTTTTTGGAAGCTTTTTTTGGCAGAACTCTTAATTATCCAATGAACCCTTTGTTAAATGAATGTATGACAAAATACAAAATATGGACATTATGAAGGTAATTAACTAAAGCAACAACACTGAACTGTGGTTAACCAGATATGTAAAAAAAAAAAAAAGAATACAAATTATGGATTTATTCACTAAGATAATGTACATTTACTGACATAATTATTTCTGAACTGTCACATGGGAGAGTTGTGTGAAACCACTTTGAAGTACATTTTAAACCAAGTTCTTAACCATATCATTGGGTTTCACTACCATCTAGTGGTTTAGTGATGAATTTATATCCTGTTTTACTGTTGTTTCACCCTCTGAATGGATCAGTGGCCTGCACAGCACAAACATCTATACTTGATTTGAGTGAAAAACACCTGAAATTAAGCATCGAAACCAGGGAACGCACAATCTTAGCCCTTGAGCTCAGTTAGTGTGTCCTGCCTCAGCACCTCCTCTTTACCCCCTTTAACACAGTGACATTTTTCAGTACCGTTTAGCTGCTTCAACCTGCTAATTATAACAATATATGCTGGCTCTAAATATTTGCTTTATTATAAGAGCACTAAAACAGAAATATACTTTTTTTAAGTGATGTTTTTATTCATAGAAGGGAATGGAGAGGTTTTTGGTTTGAAGAGACGTCCAGTATTTCTGAGATTGCAGGTCTTTTATGTCACTTTTTTGATGCTTATTTCTTCACAGAGCTGAAAAAGGAACGGCGACTTATCCAGCAAGACTTGGAAGCCCTGAATTTGATGAATGACTCTACATGCACAGATAAGCTGAAGCCTGATGTTTCTCAGATTCCCAGCAGGTCTGACTGAAAATCCTGCCCCATAACTGATTTTGTTTCTTACTATTTAATTATTATATGTTTTTATTATAAAACCAATTTATCCTATTTCTGTCTGGATTGAGATACTGACAAAGTCAGTGTTTCCACTAATCACTACTAATCATCATTTTTCAGGGAAATGAAGCTGACTGATTTGGCAAATGTCTCTGAGAAGAAGCAGTCAGTCTCACCAGTCTCACCTAAAACAGATTTTCTTCAACCAAAGCCTCCTCCAGCTGTAGCACTACATGATAACAGACCCGCTCTCCTGGGCAAAACCAGGCACAGAATTTCTCTCAAGGTTACACAGCTTCCAGGGTCGTCCCCAAATCCTCCACAGGAACTGGATTTGGAGAACTTTGCTTCTTTAGCCACTGTACAGAGTTCTCCAAGTGAGTCGAAAATTGCTTTTGTAGGATCTGCAACCTGTAGACTTAAAGACAGGGCACTGGCTGGGCATTTCAGAGCTGCCCCGACACCACTGATACCTGCCCCACCTGCAGGGCAGAGAGCCAGCAGCAGGGGGCAGCGGGTGGGCAGACGCCTGGCACTCCATCAGACAGGAAACCTGCTCAGTGCCACCTAAACACACCAGCTCCATATTCTCTGAGATTAAACTGCATGATCTGGCAGCTGGGTAGACGTATTATTTACATTATAAACTTTATAGGAGAGGTTTAACAAAAGACACCGCATGTTTACACATTTATTTCATACATGCAATGCAATTAAACAGCTCAGTTATTCCATAAAAGGCACACAGACAGTTGATCTTTAAAATAAACTTTATTTTACCATTTGAAATTGAACCATTTAAGATACACAGCTGATGCGACTAAGACAATGTTTGATGCAATTTGGCCCTAATTCCAAAGACATGGTTAGATATGTTTGATAGAAAGTTCTGAGCTCATTTTCATGGTGCTTTACTCTCCCTCCCTGCCCTCACAGTAATTTCACCAGGACGTGACAGTAGTGAACAATACAGTAGTGGACACAGACCTGCAGAACCTTTGAGTAGAAGAGAATGGGTGGGATTGTAATATATGTTGCTATTAAACATCATAAAAATGATAATGTAAAGTGCTGGAACAACATGAAAATGCAAGATGATGCATTCTGTTCCCAAATAAAAGGTCTCTTTACGACAGCAAGCATCTGGATAAAAAAAATAAATCACAGTTTTAGTTATGCTATACTGCCATTGTCCAAATAAGATAGTGTGCATTAATACTTGGCAAACCCACAAAAAATAAATTCAGCTACATTTATAGTGGAAATGAATAATACACAGATGAGCAGCTCAGATACTCAGACCAGGAGTACAACATGTCACGGTGTGTTACAGTATCTCTATTGGGAGATTTTGCAGCGACCGTGCAACTTTAGGGCTTGTGACATTTCAATTAAATCAGCAGCACAAAACAACTGGATGATGTTATGTATTAAAATGACTAATAATTTCGCAGCTACAAGTTAGTAGGAGTCGATCATCCACTTTTAAACGTCAGTGGATCCTTTGGAAGTTTACAGAAAACAGCTCAGTTCCCAGTCTAACTAATAATTCAATTCTCACTAATTAACAAGTTCAACTACTACACGGTTTGTTGAATCCAATCTAGCATACACATTTTATTTCAGGTTTAAACATGCCTGATGAATACTGAGCACACAAAAAAATTGGATATTTATGTGTAGGGGGCGGGGAAAACCCGTCAGATGTCACTGTGGCTGAATTATGGCAAAAATCGAGTTTTGGCTATATTTGTTTTTTCTGCCTATAATGTTCTTGGAAACAAAAATTATTTTTCATCAAAATAATGTGGAAAAAATGTTAATCACATTTTACTCTTGCCTGGGCTATCTTCCTGCAAGGATCGTGTTTGGTAAGGAGTCAGTTTAAGAAATGTGGTGGTAAAAACAGTCAGTCTACCGTAAGATGTCTAACGTGCGCTACCGCTCACGATGAACGGCATGTTTTGATCAAGTGGAAAGTTACTTATGCACAGCAGCAAAATGGATATAAGCCTAATCAGTTCAGTTTGTAATCAGATACTGGCTGTCAAATTACCCTGCACTGCAGTCATGATGAAATCTTTAATTGCAGTTTTTCCATCTTCACTTTTGGGAGTAACCGGATTTGAAAATGTTAGGAAAAAATTTCAATTCAAGAAGTCTGTAGTATTCATAACCGTATATGGTAAGGGTCTGAATATATAATTATATACGTACATATGGTAGACATTTATATACTATATATAGGTAGACAGTAAGGGTCCCTGGAGGACTAGTGGTTAGGCCTCAGCGCTCTCAACGCCCTGGCCCGGGTTCGATTCCTGGCTAGGGAACTGACCCTAGCCACTGGGGTTGAACAAGACAGTACACTCCCAGTGGCGGTCCCAAGCCCCGATAAAACTGGGGAGGGCTGCGTCAGGAAGGGCATCCAGCATAAAAACTGTCCCAAATCAAATATGCAGACCAATGATCTGCTGTGGTGCTGCCTAACAGGAGCAGCTGAAAGAAGAACAACACCCCAGTCTAACCTATATATAGTAGAGAACAACATCCCATAGTCTAACCTATATATAGTAGAGAAAATTTCATCATGTGAAGGGTTTTCCCAGATGGCCCCACACACTTAGTGTCCTTGTGTCCCCTGTCAGACTCAGCTGTTGCTTTATGGTAGGCTACCATCTCGCCAAACAATAGCTATTATTAATATTAGCTAGCTGCTGATTAGACTATGTTCACTTTTCAAATTCCTCTCTTTTGTATCAGTACTCCTGTTCTCTGTCCCAAAGTACACACTCAAAGTTTTCTCCACCGTTACATGTTCAAATGGAATCTAATAAGAACTCTTCTATCAAACACTTCTATCAAAAGAGTTTGGAGTACACCTTCAGTTGGACCAGGGTGTGTATAGAGTCATATTTTCATGCTTTAGGGAAAGTGGTTCAGGCAGAATGTATTACACTGTGGTGGAGGAATAACTCTTTAAACCTGCTTTTGTACTGTGCAATCATTGTAAAAGAGGTGAATATTCTTTCTTAGTTGAGCACTGTGAAAATCATTCCTCTGTGCTTCAAGTTTCAGTCCAGAGTGTTAGTTTGGCAACATTTTTGATATCAGCTGGTTTAAGGAGCTTGAGATAAAATAAACAGTGTCACTGCATACAGATAGAAAAAAAAAAAGATACAACTTTAAGATAACACAGTTTTAGTACTATAAAAATAAAACAAAAGCGACTCTCTTAAAAAGGTAAACTCTTTGTTAAATGACCACGTGGCTAGTTACATACAGGTTTAAAATGACATCAATACTGATATTATTCTGTACTATGTAAAGACTCACTAGTGAAAGATTTTCACTACACATAATGCTGAGTACACAGAAACACCAGCTAATAAAAAGAAAACCAACCCAAAAGGTCCCCAATCTGATAAAATCATTTTAAAAAAACTGCACATACACACCTGTCCAGTTATTTAATTATTATTTTTGACATCACTGTAAAATAAAACAGTACAAGACCAGGGTGTATTTGCAATTAGACCAAGTCTCATCATCGCTAGCATAGACACGAATTAACTGAATTCTACACACTAATACCATATTCATTTCAGACGAAGAGGTCAGAACATCAAATTAAATGCTAAAACACAGTTTGTGGGCTACGATTCACCGTATGAACATGTCCTTCATGCATCAACACTGTGCATTCGTATTACACGATATAAGAAATTATTACTGGCATGGGAAAGCTTGCACGTGCTAATATACTTTTTCATATCATGATAATTGTTAAACAGTTTAGTCATTGCCAGTTGCCAGACATCTCTCTCCTATCGCACAACAGCTACAGGTCAAGTGAAGGCTAGTCTCAGCCTCAGATGCCCTGCTCACAGCCTGACCGAGTGTCTCATGCCTTTTCAGAATCATGAAAGTTGCAAGCTGACTGGACCCCACAATTCTGTACACTGGTTTCCAATGGGAAACACAGTGACACAAAATTTTCAAAAAAAAAAAAAAAACAGTCACAGACATGTCTTTTTAAGATAGAAACATAGCGAGTAAACGTATTTGGCCATTTGCAATGTCATTGCAAGGCCTTTTCCTGGGAGCGGTGACAAAAAAAAGTACCTGACTCTTCCTATCATTGGGATATTGCGATTTTGAATCTTGATGATGCTACAGCCATCTGTGGCCGGAAGTCCAAGAGAGCAAAACTGACCGTGTTCTAAGGGTGGGAGGGATAACATTACTCTCTCCTCTGTCCACAGAGCGACACTAACTTGTATATGGAGGAGCTAGCACTTTTCTCCAAGATGTGGTGGTAGAGCTGCAGTCTCCTAGGAACACTTGTTAGTGGTGTGAGAGAGAGAAAACTGGCTAGTGGATGGGAATTGGAAATGTCCAAGCTGAGAGAAAATCGGGTAAAGAAAAAAACCTGAAAGCTAAAAGGCTGTTTTAGAAGAGTGTCAGATGTCTACAAGAGGATGTTAATCTCCTTTGTAATAAATAAACCTCAGCCATAACGAGCATGTGTAAGTCCAGGTCAAACAGCGGATTTTCTATAAATGGCTTGATTCTTCTTATGGAAAACACACAGGTTATTTGCTTATTTAATACTGGGCCAGGGCACGTGCAGGCTTCTAAACTCTGCAATGACAACATTTTGATGATTAGAAGATGTGGATTATTGCAGTATATCATGGAAATGACTATGGATTCATGCTTAACCATGATGGCTAATGTGCGCAGCATGTATGATGCTGCTGTGCTCTTTTCATTGTGAAGTCAAGTAATGTAAAATCATTGCACTGACCAGGTTTAAGCTTGTGCTTATTATTTCTGTAAATGGCTTGCATCAAGGATTTGCACTGCGCTGTGCCCAGCTGAGAGTCCGATACCTCCCACCTCCCACTACTTCCTTTTTTTTTTCTTTCCTATTGCTGTTTGTTAGTTTGTACCTTTTTCTACACTTTCTGGGGGATAATCATATAACTTTCATCAAGAGGTTAATAAACAAAAAGGAATACTACAAACAGAATAAAATGCCAAACATGACACAGTACTGTTAAGAGATTAACACAGAAGAAATACAACCCAGGAGTTTCATCAATTGCATCATGAAATGCACTTATAGCAGCTACATTGCAAGACCACTGCCTTCCTCTGGCACTGTCTGGCAATATCTCTAACATATACAGGCGTCCAACATCCTGCTAAGACTGAGAATGTGGGTCACTGTGACAATAAAAGACAGGCCTTGGTGACTTTGTGTGACTGGAATGACTATAAAATGCCAATTCCAGTGAACAGCTCAGGACCCAAAAACACTACAACGTCTCTTTCGGAAAATAAAACACAAAAATCAATTCACGGGTGAGGAATGGTAAACATTAAAAAGTTATTACACACGATCCTCTAGCGTCTTTACAAAATAAACGCACAATGATTTAGTACCATACTATACAATGAAGAATGTCAGTAAAGCTCTATTCTATGTATTACACACACTACGCAATTCAGTGAGGTCAGTAATGATGACTGATTTCTCTCCCTAAATCAGAAGTTCATCTCCAGCATTAACTCTCTGTCTCCACCTTACTGCACTTCTCGTTCTTCATCAGTGTGGTGAGGACAGATTTAAAAAAGATGATACTAAACACAAATATAAAAAAAAATACACATACACACACACACACATACACACATACACACACACACAGTCCAGCAATGCCCCCAGGATGTAGGAGGTTTGTGCATATCATACCCTTTTCTTTTTTTTTGGAGGCAGCATGCCTCTACCCCCATGACAATCCTTGTGTGTGTGCGCACACTACAGTTCTGAGTCTATGGCAACATCCCTCCTGCCATCTCTCAAATGATCCGTACGCTCAACATATAGCATATTTTATTTTCAAAATGGAAGACTAGTCAGAGCCAAAGAGTCGTCTCTTGAGTTAAAACTGTTAGCATGATCACAAGCTGTTGGAAAAAGGTTTAGAAAAAAAAAAAAAAGGAAAATTGTGCACAACCCTGAGAATGGGTTTGGGAACTTAATGTGCTTAGATCGAGGGAGTTTCCTTCAGTGGCTGTTCTAAAAGCTGAAGGCAAAATATCCTTTGTGCTTCGTCTTGTGCATCTGTTTACCCGAGTAAAAACTGTGGGTTCTGTTAAAAACGACCAAATACAACCACTGATGAAAAGCTACAGGCAGGGGCAAAAAACCAGAAATCCCAAAATAAAGATTTCATGTGGCTGAGATACGATTACAGATTATAGATGGTATGTTCACTATAGTCAAAGAACATTTGGTCTTCAGCTTTTAACCCGACCAGCACTGTCACCGCTGTACACACAACAAGCCGAAACCTACAGCTGCAGCAACAGTAGTCACATTTCCAGATACATTTTACATGGAAGGAGAAAGAAACCAATATATCCCACGCTGCACTATATATACACATGGTAGGGATGCATAAAAGACTTCCTGTGTATGCATATGAACACATTTTTGTACTTACAAAAACAGCATTATTAAATTAAAAAGGAAAAAAAAAGAGGGGTTGGGATGAGAACCGATTCTCTCTAGAGGTTAGGAGTAATAAAGCCCTTACAATATGTAAAGGTTCAGCAGGTGTGGCCTCGCGTCTATACACTGGGTGTCGGGTTGAGTGTGGAACCGTTGCTGCCCTTTATGGTGAGCCCGATCTCTTCCTTCTTCTCTTTATCCTGATCTTTCTCTTTCTCCTCATCTTTAAGGGAACGCACCTCCACGGATTCAGGTCCGGCCATCGCGTAGCGGCCCTTGCGGTGCTCTTGCAGCGCCGGACCCCAGCTGGGATGTGGCTTCATCGAGTTCTTCAACCGCTGCAGCAAAGCGGAGAGATCGAAATTAGATTAAGAATTAAAAGACAGACGTATCTTTTCTACCTCATGGTATATGCTTTATCGTGCTTTCAAGGCGGTTGGAATTCTTTAGAAAAAGCTGAGTAAGCCAAAATAATGGAGCGATTTTAAATGAATGGCATGTTGATGTAGATAAGTAATAGAAGGCTTGCTCATTTTAAAGGAACATTCTAGATTAACTGCATTCATGTGACTCTTTTATCCAAAGCATATAGCTCAGGGTTCTTGCCCTTTCTTTGTGGAAATATTTTTTTCCCAAGACTTTGTTTTTACAGAGTTTTCTTTCCAAAATGTCCAAACTTTCTATGCTAAGTTTTGTTGGTAATTTTAAAGGTCATTAACTGCATCCTGATTTCTCAAAATGTGATTAAATGCATTAAGGAGGCTGCATTAGTGCAGATGATATGAGAATAGCTAAAGACAACAGCTTTTT